GGCACCTGGGTGGCTCAGTTGGTTAAGCGTCTGCCTTCGGCTCAGGTCATGATCCCAGGGTCCTGGGATCGAGCCCCGCGTCGGGCTCCCTGCTCAGCGAAGAGCCTGCTTCTCCCTCTCCCTGCCACTTGCCTGCTCGTGCTATCTCTCTGTCAAATAAATAAATAAATAAATAAAATCTTAAAAAAAAAAAAAAAGTGCTGCCAGATCCAAAGGCATGAAGCTTTAAATCTGTTTTCTTCTAGGAGCTTTATAGTTTTAGCTCTTATATTTAGGTTTTTTATCCATTTTGAGTTAATTTTGTGTATGGTGTGAGACAGAGGTCCCATGAGCTCTTTAAAGCCTACTAATTATTTACATTATTCTAGGTTAGTAACAATTTATCACAACCGCGGACAAAGAAATGAAAAGAGGAAGTAAAAGGTACTAAGTTTCTGAAATGAGTTATGAACCAAGAGGAAATTACTTTTAAATGGCTCTCTTTTAGGCTAACTTTTTTTTTTTTAAAGGAAAGGTTTTTATTTTTTTTTATTTTTTTTTTTTAAAGATTTATTGATTTGACAGAGAGAGATAGTAAGAGAAGGAACACAAGCAGGGGGAGTGGGAGAGGGAGAAGCAGGCTTCCCGCAGCGCAGGGAGCCCAATGTGGGGCTCGATCCCAGGACCCTGGGATCATGACCTGAGCCGAAGGCAGACGCTTAATGACTGAGCCACCCAGGCGCCCCTTTAGGCTAACTCTTAATGACACTTCTGTCCTATAAGCCTGAGAGCCTCGGAGGAAGGGGTGGGAATCAACACTAATAATTTACTTTATAACAAGAGTTCTATTTTTTTCCCAAAAATATATGATTTATTAAGATTTAGAGCATGCTTTGGCTACTCTACTATTTCTAAATGTATCTTAAATGAATTCTGATTTTGAAGGCATTTTGAAGACAAGGAGGGCCTTATCATTCATGAATTGGTATCCAACTCAGTTGGATAAAACAAGACAAAATTCCTTATAAATATTTTGAGTGATCACCTTTAAAAGGAACATTAAAAAAAACCGTGTTGCTTCACCCAAAAAGGGTAAGAATTATCTCTAATCTTTCTGGGGTTCCCTAAAAGGCATGGATGCCAGGGAATACCACTTTCACAGTAATGAGCAGAGAATGCAAAGTAAATTCAAAACACAGCAATAATGGGACAGTGGCCTCATTTCTGTATATATAAAGACTTCAACCACCACCCCATTATTGCCATCACACACACACACACAAATGGTTCAAGATAACTACCCTGAATAGGGTCCATAAGCAGACCTTTTGTGAAAGAGCCAAATGGTAGGCAAATCTATAAGCTAAAGGGTCACCCGGGTGGCTCAACTGATTAAGCCTCCAGACTCTGGATTTCAGCCTGGGTCACGATCTCGGGGTTGTGAGATCGAGCCCCTGCACTGTAGTCCACTCTGGGCGGGCATGGAGCCTGCTTAAGACTCTCTCTCTCTCCCTGGGTCTGCCCCCCCCCCCCCACAAAAGCGTGCGCGCTCCCTCTCGCTCACTCTCTCCCCCCCAATCTATAAGCTCAAAATGACTATCCTTATTACATTCAGCACGTGTGTCATGGTTTCAGGAAATACTGCCAGGATACTCACAGGAGAGAGTTTCTGGATAAGGTCATGGGCAACGTGGACAAGGTTTTTGTCTTCATGGAGACATTTCTGAAATTTTCTGCTCTCCTCGTCTTCTAGGAGATCAAAGTCAATGGCGGCATCCAGCAAGGCCTGAATTAAGCCCTTCCAGGACTTCAGGGCTGGAACCTGCGGTGCCACCGCGGCGCTGATGCCCGTTCCGATCACCAGCACAAGTTCCCGCGGCTTCTTAGTTTTTAAGCTTGGAAGCAGCTTCCTAAAAAAGTCAACCAAATGAAGAGGATTGGGAATGTCCAACAGATATGAGGCACACGGAAAGGCTGTTGAAAATCATGGTTTTCAGCTACCACTTTCGTAGTTGCAAAGAGAACAACTACCAGTTTCTGATGCCTCTCCTGAGTATCTTAAGCAAAAAGACCAGAATACTGTGCCAGGGCTTGCTGAAAAACCTATTTCAGGAATCCTAAAAGGCAATCTTAAAATCAATTTTCTCCCTCATAGTTCTTTCAATCTAAGAAAACCCACTAATAGTAGGAAAAGATCCAATTATATTATAGCCCAGCTGAGTTCTGCTAACTAAATTATATTTTAAGCCAACATTAAATTTCAAAAAACATGGAGTCCAAAGAGAAAAGAAATCCATACAAATTAAATTCCTATTGTTGAGAGATATATAAAAGAGATGAAAGAAAGCCAAAGTTAAGCCCAAATTCTGTAAAAACAAGTAAGATAAAATTGAGCATGACTAAAACTGAGAATGAGATAGTCAAGTATGGGAACATTTCACTGCGATTTTGTTCTAGTTTCTGCAAGGCAAAAAGAAAAAAAAAGTAGCTAACAAAATTCTGAAAACACAGGAGCTTCACATTACCTAAATAAACAAAGATACAACTATTCAACAGATATGACAAGAAGTGGAAAACATTCCTTTCTTACTGTGAGACAAGCACAGAGTTCTGTCTTGAAGAGAGAGCACAGACACAAGTTTTGTGTTTTGGTTCTCCATACCCCACCCCCTGCTTCAATCTGGAAACTATATTAAAGTCTGTTTGAAATACGTTTACTCACTTTAATTTTTGCTAATGGCAGGTATTCTCTAAGAAATTGCCTTTCTCAATTTGTCAAAATAATAGAAAAAGGATTTGCATTTTGGCATAACATAAGAAATGGTACTTTAAGCCTTGGGAAACCTGTTTTGGGGAAACAAACTTAAGAACTGCCTTCCCTATCTCCAACTCCTGAATTCAGTCATTCGACAAATATGAAAAACTTACAAAGTACCAGACACTATGGGAGGCACTAGTGATGTTTCTATGAATAAAATGAAGTCCCTAATCTTAAGAGTTTAGTCTACTGGAAAAGACTGATAATAGATACTAGAAGCAAATGATGAAATGAGTATCAGTTCAAGGCAATCAAGATATGGAAACATACACAAATACATACTCATAGAAAATTTCTAGAAGGATCCACAAGAACTGTAAATAGTGGTTAATTCTGGGGAGTAGGGAGAATAAGGATTTTTACTTTGATTGTGCTTTATTATTTGAATTTTTTACCTCACCCATTATAGGTTTAAGGTATAATTTGCCTAATCTAAAATTTCCAGTTAAAAAGGAAAAAATTAGCAGTTGTGGTTTATTTCTGATTCTTCCTAAAACCACTAAGTAATTATAATTTTTTTAGAAGGTATAAATTCATAAAAATCAAAATAAGAAAAGATGACAGCAGACAACACAAGCCAACAAAATTTTAGGAGTTGTACAGTAAGAGATGATTCCCTCTATAAAACTTTCGGAATGTTCAAATAAATCTGAAGGTGGAGGGACAGGTGGGGCCAAAACAGAGGATTTGTTGCAAGGCCATATTAGAAGCAGTTAGGACTCTATGACTGGAGGCTTGCTTTCCAGAGAGGTTGAACCAGAAGGTTCTGTATTTGAGAACACTGTGCACAGCTTGGAAAAGGGAATTAAGTAAAAGTCAGTATAGGAAATATAAGACTCTCCCCTGCACCCTTCTCCCAGAGGAGACATTGGCAGTCAACCTTATACCTGCACCCTATTCCCCATCCAGTCATCCTCTGTGGGGGAAAATGGCCAGCATGAGAAAAAAGACCCACACATTCTGATAGGTGGGGATTCCTCAGCTACAGAACCTGGCCCATGCTTGACATCCACAGTGAAGCCCATCAGCGACCAAGTCCCTTATGCACAAAGATTCTCCAACTGGCTTTTTAGTGTCCTCTCTTAAATATGAGCAGACAAAGAAAGGTCACCTTACATTTGAACAAAGCCCCCAATGTGAGGGTTACACCTAAACAAACTAGCAGATAGAAAGGAATCTGCAGGAAACAAGTGACAATAGGGGAAAGACAAGAAAAATGGAAAAGAAAACGGTATCTCATATAGATTAAAAAAAAAGGTATCTATGAAAAATGAGCAAAATACTATAAAAAAGGGGTGGGCAAACAAATAGATTTCTTGGAAATTAAAAATATAACAAATAAATTCGTAACATTGGAAGGAAACAGAAAATCTCTGAGAAAGTATAATGATAAAGCAATAGAGAACTAGAGTCTTGGGGCGCCTGGGTGGCTCAGTCGGTTAACAGTCAGACTCTTGATTTTGGCTCAGGTCATGACCTCAAGGTCATGAGGTCAAGCCCCTCGCTGGGCTCTGTGCTGGACATGCAGCCTGCTTAAGATTCTCTCTCTCAGGATGCCTGGGTGGCTCAGTCGGTTAAGGTCTGCCTTCGGCTTAGGTTATGATGCCAGGGTCCTGGGATCGAGCCCTGCTGAGCAGAGAGCCCGTTTCTCCCTCTCCCTCTGCCTGCCGCTCCCCCTGCTTGTGCACTCTCTCTCTCTCTCTCTGTCAGATAAGTAAAATCTTAAAAAAAAAAAAAAGATTCTCTCTTTCTCTCTCACCCCCCCACGCTCACGCACACACTCTTTTTCTCTCTCTCAAAAAAAGAAAAAGAAAAAAGAAAACTATAGAGTCTTACTGCAGAAGATCCAACATCTGAATACCAAGAGTTCTACTACAAAGGCACAATATAGAAAAAACCGTAAAGGAAATTATCAAATAAGAAAAAAAATTTTCCACAGTGAATTATCAGTAGCCAACTTGTTAGGGCCACCTGATACCTAGACTCATATGAAGGTACATCACTGTGAAATTTCAGGTTGCTGAGAATAAAATAACTATCCTTACAAGCTTCCAGTGAGAAAAGAAGAGGTCATATAACACAAGGACTGGGAATCAGCAAAGAGTCACTATTTTGGCAGGAACACATAGCTGCTAGCAGAGAATGAGTAATAATTTCATAACTCTAAGGAAAATGATTTCCTATCTAAAACTCTACATTCAGCCAAATCATCAAATAAATGGACAAATATGATAAGGACATCTTCAAATGTCTCCAAAAACTCTTCTCCTGTGAATCCTTACTAAGGAAGCATAATGAGAGTATTTTTCAGGAAAATGAAAGGGCAAGACGATATCTAGGAAAGAGAGGATCCAATACAGGAGAGATATAAAAGGAATTCTGGGGGTCACGGGAAAGGAAAATGGCAAACATCAGCAATATAGCAGGCCTGGAGAACAGCGGTCCAGAGCAGAGGACTGTCCAGAAGGAAAAATCTATGAAAGAATGTAAACTTGAGTAAATTACTGATGAGTGTCAGCATATCTAAGAGATTTATTCTTCCGTCACAGAGTTTGAAGATAAGCTGATAGGTACATAGAAAACAAAGCAAGCAAACAAACAAAAAAGGATAATCTTTAATAACTTGGAGGAAAAAATGGACAAGAAAGTATAATCAAAACACTGTTAGGCTCAGCTATGAATACTATTCATCCAGTCATATACGTTAACTATTAAAAAACTGACTTAACCAAAAATTGTGATATAAACACTGGGGGGATGTCGGGAAAGAGTGTTTGACGTGTGTATATGGTGGGAGCAACATGTGGGGAGAGGCTCCAGAAGGGCAAGCCTAATCCTCATCTTCCTTAATTGGAAAATAGATAAAACCAAAAAACTAAAAAATAGCAGTATATACACATTATTTAAAAATATGGATGCAAGTATTAGAAGAAACAGATTAAAAAAGTTGAAAGTGATTATCTCTGGAGAGGGAAAAGGCATTATAAGCTTTGAAGTACTGACTTATAAATTATGTACATTCATGACATTTTTTAAAATAAAAATTAAATCCAAAATAAAAATAATTTTTATATGAAGGTCAATATTAATTTGTGAAAACAACTAGACTGTAGGGCAAGTTTGTTATTTTTTGTCATCTACCATAAATGGTAATTTACTAAATGTTCCTCGGATTCCCTTCCCTTGTTTACCTGGGCTTTTTGGTGGGGGGTGCGCCATCACTGAAGTATCCAAGAATCTTGTCTATATCAGAGGCCTGGCTCCCTGTAGAAGCCATCCAGTTTCTAAAATAGATTAAACACCACAGACCACAATTAGATCTGTAATATATACCATTCAAAATAGCACACATGTTAAACAGTTTTAATGAGGTGTATACCCTAAAGGTGTTCTAGAGGTATTCCCTGCTCAACAAAGATTCATTAATTAATGAGCATCCCAAACTTAAAGAATTAAATTCACTTAAAAGAAAATAACCTTGAAATTATGACTTTGGTGCTCCATACTGTCATCTTGTTTCTGTTCCTGAAGGCTCTCCCCTGCCCCCTTCTTCCCAAAACAAAACAAAAATCGATGTCAATTCATGTCAATTATTGGTCATCACTTTGTGTAGCCTAAGAAATACCTGCTATTCTCCCCTGAGACAGGCTTGGGAAGTCTTAGGGGATAAAAACAATCCATGGATAAGTGTGCTAATAGACTCCAATTATCCATTTACTATCAACTGAAGAAATCACTGAGTCAAGAATAGAACAATCAATACTAATTCGCTGATTGTTAGACATCCTTGTTGCTGAACAACTACATCCTCACAGGCAGCGAGGCACGTCTCCCTAGCTGAACAGAGTGGACTCTTAGACACTGTGATAAATGGGAAAGGTATTATCAAGCAAAGATGCATGAAAAATGACCAATTATGTTCAGGTGATGGGATAACTAGCAAAAGTAAGAGAATTACCATGGATTAGAATGAAAATTATAATGAGAAGTTTTAATTGCTCAAAATTTTAGCAAACTTGCTAAATCTAAGGACCATTAATTCTAAAACAGCAATATTTTAAATAGTGTGTACACACACATACACACGTATCCAACAAAAGGCAATACACAGTACCAGAGTTGTGAGGGTTTTATTATTCTTTCATTGTCAACGTTTAGAAATAACCAGGGGCGTCTGGGTGGCTCAGTTAAGCGTCTGACTCTCAGTTTTGGCTCAGGCTGTGAACTCAGGGTCTTGATCTCATGGGTCATGGGATTGAGTCCTGCGTCAGGCTCCACGCTGAGCAGGGAGTCTGCTCGAGGATTCTCTTCCCCTGCCTCTCATCCCACGCACCCCCTCTCTCTAAATAAATAAATAAATCTTTAGAAATAATCAAATTCCTACTAATTATTTCAAGTTTACTATTTTAGTAGAAAGCTTTTTCTTCATGTAAACATTTTCTCAAGTCTGCTGAATTAATTTTTCTGGTAAATAGAAGGCTCAGTTCCTTACCCCATATTACTTCACACATAATGGAATTCTTTGATATCATAATCATTAGGAAAATAGGAATCTCAAAATCATAAAGTGAGTTAGGAAGTAGGCCATCTTTCTAGTCAAATCTTTGATTCTGTTGGTGAGAAAGCTGGGGCTCAGAGAAGACACATGAATTACTTAACTCAGTAAGTTGTGCCTTAATAATCACTGGAGATGCCTGTTAAACATACGTGTTCTTAAAAATAACGTCTATTAATTAGCTTAAAGACAGTATATATTCTCAGGCTCTAAACCCAAAATACTGAACCAGAATCTCCAGAATCTTCAGGAAATTCTTATGATGAGGTAAAAAGGAACATCCAAATGAAATGCAACAATTTTTCTAAATGTCTACAAATGTAGGACATTTAACACAGGCATACCATCTGCTGTCCTCTCTTCATTTAAGCGCATATATCATTTATTATAGTCAATACCATCCCGGTTTGCTAAGAGTTAATCACCATTAAAATATTTCCAAATTTTAATTTATGGAAGTCATTTTCTACTCTAAAGTCCAGTCTATGCTCTAGATTGAAGAAGAATTGGTAGAAGAGTGGTTACTTCTACTGTATGTGGGACGACCTGTTAGCTTGGGATAGTTTTAAAAAATACACAACGAAAAGTGTGTATGCTTATGCTCTTTCTTTAAACATGGTTCTAAAAGGCCATCATCTGAACAAATTACAGCCATGCAAAAAATACTCTGTATTAAGAAAGATTAAAGAAAAGTAAAAAGGGAATTAATTTAATGTTTATTAAGTTTTGAAGACAGACAGCTTCAGAATTCAGTGCTCAGTTCAGCTACTAAACCTGAGTTTTAACAAACTGATAGTGCTTACCACATGCCAAACACTATTTACAAATATTAACTCATGTAATCCCTATAAGCTTATGAAATACCATTATTACCCTATTTTTAGGGATGAGAAAACTGAAGGACAGAAAGGCTGGGCAGCATAATTCAAACCAAGATAGTCTGCCTCCCAAGACCATGGTCTGAAATATTCTATTTATTACAACCTAAAAATGTTCTCCAAGTATTAGCATCTCACCTTTTGTTCATTTGTTTTTAATTTGCAGGCCAAAACTATCAAAAAAGGAAGATCCCACATTCCAGAAAGATTTACTGGAAATAATTCTGTGGCTCAGGTCATGATCTCAAGTCCTGGGATTGAGCCCCACATCGGGCTCCCAGCTCAGCGGGAAGCCTGCTTCTCCCTCTCCCTCTGCCTCTCCCCGTTTGTGCTGTCTCTCTCTCTCTCTCAAATGAATAAATAAAATTAAAAAACAGAAAGAATTCTGTATAATGCTTAACAGCTGCTTCATGACCAGGTGCTCTGCTGATGTAATCATGGCACCGACTTAAATTCAGAAGCTGAATGAAACAGCTTTTTCTGGTGACAAGTGCTATTTGTTACATACCCCCAACCACCACTAATCTACCTAGACCGGTCCTATCATTTTCTCCTGGAAAATATGCTACGCCACTTTTGCTGGATTCTAACAGATGGTAAATTCTTGATGTCTATACCTGAATACTAAGCTTTCTTATTTTTTTTCTTTACAGAGTCAACTATTCTGAAGGTCCATTCATTCTACATAATTTAATTAAATATGGCCAACAGCTCCTAACAAGTTGTTACTTCAATGTTTTGGGTCCTCTTATTTAGGAACTGAATGAGAAGAAATTCAATATCGCCACATTATATTTGATCATACACACATCCTGTTTTGTAACAGGATAACATCTTTCCTTCAGGCTAAAGGATGCCTCATACGCTACAGTCTCACACATACATCCCAGTGGCATCAAAGCATAAACCATATCTTATTTCTTCCAGAGTACTGTTTCAGAAAAAAAGAAATCCATTTTAGTGTTTATCCTACACAACATGCAGTTACTTATAAAAAGCTTCCACACTGTGAAAATCTTACAAATATTGCTAACATGCATCAACTAGTTCACACATTAACTTCTTTTCGTGATCACCATTTGAGCTTTTCATTTCAGTGGGACTTGCTATGTACAGCAGAGATAGGAAAAGCTTTTCTGCCACAAGAAGACCAAAGGCAATTGCCTGTGGCAGAGTCTTTGTTACTACAATTACTGCTAAAGCCACCAAAAAACTCCTTCAAGACCAAGAGAATTCAGCAAAATAAAAGTCAGATATTTGGTAAATGCTCAGAAAAGTAACAGCAACCTCATTAAATTTTGTAAGGCTCAAGTCTGCATATAAGAAAGGACACTTACACTTTGAAGCCTGTCAGCTTGGCATGAAAAAGAATGCTTCCATCTGGTAAATCAAAGGGAAAAATCAAGGCAAGCGTTTTGGGAAAAATCCATTAAGAAACAAGGAAAAGGGACAAGAGGAAAAGGGGTGGTTATAGGACTGAAATTAAATTCATAAAAACTAGAGGACTTGTGGATTTGAAAACATTAACGAATCACAGTAGCTCTTGCTTTCCTAGCATCTTGGTGCTGCAATGATAGCAAAATCTGGTTCCTTTTCCAGTTCAAAAATCAGAGTGAGGTCTCTCCCTGTGCTTCTGGTGTGTAGTGTTCAGCTCAAACAACTGGCAGGCCAGAAGGAACTCAGAATACATTCTGGTATATGGGTGGATGGAATAAATCAAAAGGAGAGAGAAGTTCTAATGATGACATTTTTGCCTGGAAATAAAAGATCTACAAACGACTAGCTTGAGGAAGTGGTACCTTTCTTGCCTTAAAAGATCAGTTTTATTTACAGCAGGCTTTCCCCCATTTATTAAAAAAAGAGGGGGGAGGCACCTAGGGGGCTCAGTCTGTTAAGCGTCTGCCTTCGGCTCAGGTCATGATCCCAGGGTCCTGGGATCAAGCTCCATGTTGGGCTCCCTGCTCAGCGGGAAGCCTGCTTCTCCCTCTGCCCCTCCCCCTGCTTGTGCTCTCTCTCGCTCTTGCTCTCTCTCAAATAAAGAAATAAAATCTTTAAAAAAAATAAAATCCAAAATGGTATCATAATGTACTTAACATGTTAAAAACAAAAAAAAAGACTGCGACTAGAAGACTAGTTTATTTCTCTAGCACAAACACATAAAAGGGTTAACTTCATTTTTTAAGGGAAAAAGATAGTCATCCTCCAACTTGGAAGAAACCAAATCCCTCTAGTGGTGGCTTTTGGCCTAATTCCAACACATCTGGTTTTTAACAACTATGGGGGAGGGAGAAAGGAAAAGATATCCAGTATAGAGTACTACAAAAGCGTACTCAACAAGCTTGTTGACAATTAACAAATCAAATGTTTTACTCAGGTAGTTGGTGAATTCAGTTTCATGATGTAGACTGCACCCTTTCCTATCAGTGTATAAAACAAATTTTCCATTTTCTTCCTTCTAACACACACACACATACACACAAATGAAACTGATATAGAGGAATTACATCTACAAGCGCTAGGGCTGGATTGCTCTGTGTACCCCAGTCTCGAAGCATTTCCTCTACCTCTGATTAACTCAGTTTGCTCTTACTTCTGTATCTAAATTGCATGTGCCTGACATCCTCTATGCTCTGTCAGATAAGATCTGCACCACACTTACTTCCTGAAAATCCGCTGTAACGTAGTCACTGATAAAATGCCAGACAGACACTACTTACTCTTGGTATTTTACCAGCAAACACTAACCCAATATGTCCAATATATGAATGACCTCACCAGAGCTATATATGAATGACCTCATAAGAAGCATGATCCCAGGACCCTAGGATCATGACCTGAGCCAAAGGCAGACACTTTACTGACTTTAAAGAATGAGAGGTTTGGGGCGCCTGGGTGGCTTAGTCGGTTGGGCGTCTGCCTTCGGCTCAGGTCATGATCTCAGGGTCCTGGGATCAAGCCCCACATAGGGCTCCCTGCTCAGCGGGGAGTCTGCTTCTCCCTCTGTGCTCTCCTTCTCTCTCTCTCTTTAAAAAAAAAAAAAAAAAAAAGAATGAGAGGTTTGCCCCAAATTCTAGAAAGTCTTTTAATTCAAGTCCTAAGATCAACCACATTAGTATTCCAGGCTAAAGAGCTCAGACGTTGTTTATATCAGTTATTTTCAATTATAAAAACAAAGTAACATATTACGTATAGGGAACAAAATTGTTTCAAGAAGGAACAGTAAGACATCCAAATTAAAATTTCATCTGAGGGCGCCTGGGTGGCTCAGTCGTTAAGCATCTGCCTTCGGCTCAGGTCATGATCCCAGGGTCCTGGGATCGAGCCCTGCTTCGGGCTCCCTGCTCCACAGGAGGCCTGCTTCTCCCTCTCCCACTCCCCCTGCTTGTGTTCCCTCTCTCGCTGTGTCTCTCTCTGTCAAATAAATAAATAAAATCTTTAAAAAAAATTTTTCATTTGAATTAGAAGTTGGTGACTGAAGTTGATGATTTTACTGTGCAAAGAATGCTAACTTCCTTGTCACTGCTTTCCCTCCTGTGAAGCTTCTGAAAAGGTATACCCTGAAAACAATGACACATGTTGCTAAGGAAGGAGACATTTTAATAAAATATTTTCCATGTATCAAGTAAAAATACAATTTCATCGCAAATGGCACAGGGTATTCACTGAAAATGAGATTAAATAAATCTTCAAGGGCAAGATTTTATGTTCTAGGGAGTCCTTGAAAACTAAATCCCTCCTTTGAAGACAGTGTGGGTTATGTATGGCAATACTGTCAAGGGCTGACTTTTCATGCCAAAAGAGCACACACAATACTGCTGCATACAAATGCAGATTCATCCAAGTTTGGGCGATCCCAGAAGATCTCATCATTATAGAGGATCTCTCTATGAGTTAAAGTTTGACCAGCCTTAAAGAAGGGAAGACTATTCTAACAAAAATAAAAATATTTATTAAGAATATCCCACCTAATTTCCACCCCTTTTCACTTGCTTGAGGATTTCTGACTCACAGAGTACTGAATTTGACAATTTAAAAAAGTTGTATTTTGACAATATAAAGCTTGGCAAATGTTATGATTAAAAACCCTAAGTTTACCTGAATGTTAACAGTGATTAAGTGAATTCGCGGTCAACCTGATGTGAAACACCTCAGAGGTCCCTATACCGTAGCCATGGAATCCAACCCCATTAAACAGCAAAACCAAGGATAGAATATAAGATACAAAGTAGATTTGCTTTACAATTATTCTCAGAGTTAACTAAAAGGAAAATAAAATGTTCTTCATTAAGATAAACAAAAAGAAATCACTCAAGTCCAATTTGTTCATTACTTTCAAATTCATGTTCAAGTGCATATTTAAACAGATATAACAGATAAAAAAATAATTGAATAGACACCCATCTTAGGTTCTTAATTATGTTTAAAACTCAGTTATCAGAATACCCAATAAAGAGTGACTAAGAATAAACTTGCTTTGAGTGTATTCTATTTCTTTTAATCTTGTCATATAACAGCTATAGTGTCTACTAAATGTTAGGTTCTTAAACTTTCCACTTAGAATGGCAATGGAGGGGCACCTGGGTGGCTCAGTTGGCTAAGTGTATGACTCTTGATTTCGGCTCAGGTAGTGATCTCGAGGTCGTGGGATCAAGCCCCACGATCCCCACATCGGGCTCTGCACTCCACAGAGAGTCTGCTTGGGATTCTCTCTCTCCCTCTCCCTCTGCACCTCCCAACAGTGCGCACACACTCTAATAAATAAATAAATCTTAAAAAAAAAAAAAAAAGAATGTCAATGGAACTGGAGGCTTAAAGAGGTGGCAGTATTTCCTTTAAAAGAGGGTTTAAAAAAAAAGAGGGTAGACTACTAAATTTTGGGGTGATTCATATGCAGTCCTATCTGGAGAAAGAAGAGAAAAAGCCCTGCAATTTTTTTTTTTTTTAAAGCACTTCTAATTTGCAGTTCTATGAACACATACCATTTCCCTTTTTTTCAGTGAGAAGAAAGTACAGCTGACCCTTGAACAATGTGGGAGTTAGGGGCACCAACCCCCTCCATGAAGTCGAAGATTCACATATAACTTTTGACTCTCCCAAACTACTGTTGACCATAAGCCTTACTAGCAACATAAACAGTTGCTTAACACATATTTTCTATGTTATATGTAGTATGTACTATATTCTTAAAGTAAGTTATTTTCTCTAGAAAATAAAATGTTAAGAAAATCACAAGGAAGAGAAAATACATTTACAGTAGTATACTGTATTTATCAAAAACAAATCTGCATATAAGAAAATAATCCCATTTACAGTTGCACCAAAAACTAAAATATCTAGGAATAAACTTAACCAAAGAGGTGAAAGACCTATACTCTGAAAACTATTAAACAAAGATGAAAGGAATTCAAGACGATGCAAAAAAATAGATATTCCATGCTCAAGCTGGAAGAATAAATATTGTTAATATGTCTATACTACCCAAAGCAATCTAAAGATGTAATGCAATCCCTATCAAAATACCAACAGCAATTTTCACAGAACTAGAACAAACAATCCTAAAATTTGTATGGAATCACAAAAGACCTGAATAGCCAAAGCAATCTCGAGAAAGAAAAACAAAACTGGAGATACCACAATTCCAGATTTCAAGTTATATTACAAAGCAGTAGTAATTAAAACAGTATGGTACTGGCACAAATAAAGACACATAGATCAATGGAATAGAACAGAAAACCCAGAAAGAAACCCACAATTATATGGTCAATTAATCTTTGACAAAGGAGGAATGAATATACAATGGGAAAAAGTCTTTTCAATAAGCAGTGTTGGAAAAACTGGACATCCACATGCAAAAGAGTGAAACTGGACCACTTTCACCATACACAAAAATAAACTCAAAATGGATTAAAGACATAAATGTGAGACCTGAAACTATAAAAATCCTAGAAGAGAACACAGGCAGTAATCTCTCAGACACTAGCTGTAATATTTTTCTAGATATGTCTCTTGAGGCAAGGGAAACAAAAGCAAAAATAAATATTGGGACTATATGAGAATAAAAAGTTTCTGCACAACAAAGGAAATAATCAACAAACCTAAAAGGCAACCTACTCAATGGGAGAAGATATTTGCAAATGACATGTCCGAAAAAGGCTTAGAATCCAAAATATATAAAGAACTGCTACAATTCAACACCCAAAAAACAATCCAACTAAAAATGGGCAGAAGACATGAACAGACATTTCTCCAAAGAAGATACAGATGGCCAACAGATACATTGAAGATACTCAGCATCACTCATCATAAGGAAGATGTAAATCAAAACTAAAATCAAATAATCGCCTCACACCTGTCAGAAATGGCTAAACTCAAAACACAAG